GCAGAACACAGCTAAATATATCAAAAGTATGTCTATGTAATATTACAATTTTCTGACACAATCAATTTTCTTTTTTTTTTTTCCAGTAACAGGTTTTTATTTAATAGAATTTTTGGACAAAAAAAAAAATCGCAATATATCGCCTTGCTTACGATATTGAAATAAATCGGGATACATCGTATCGTGACCCCTCTGTCATGATATGTATCGTATTGCCAAATTCCTGCCAATACACAGCCCTAATGGCACATACTTACTACATATTAACATACAACAGTACAAGAACAACAGTTTAAATTACAAATGAAAGGTTTTGTATGTTTTTATCATCACTGAGTCTACATGCATTAATGCAGCCCAGCAGTCTCTCCTTCTGGTTATATATTCATTTAAATATTACAACAGTATACTCAGCACCATTCAGAGTTTCCTAAACAGCTCAAGGCTTCCTGGTTTGTAAAGCCTAACTACCTTTCTTCAGTGTTTTAATGTGGCTGAGCAACAGGCAGAGTCTAACGCTCGGGTATGTGTGTGTGTGTGTGTGTGTGTGTGTGTGTAAGTGTGTGTGTGTGTGTGTCCGTGTGTGTGTGTGTGTGTGTGTCATTACACCTTATTTTTTCCAACACTTCTCCAGTTAGTTGCACAGCAGAGTGGAATGTTTTCTGTGGAGCTTTGCCGCCCTCTGCAGGCCATAAAGAAACTAGCTGCATTAAAGGGGCAATATTATGTGTTTCTCAGGCATATATTTAAACACTAAACCCTAATAAAGTATCTATGTCACCTTTAGTTGTTATTAAAATGCTGTTTTTATGTTTAAATAGAAAATAAGCTTATCTTCTCATCACTTCCTCTTCTAAACGCCTTGAAATTGGCCTCTGTCTCTTTAAGAACCATCGTCCGCTTTTGTCTCGCCCATTTCGGTGTAGGGTGGGGGGCTGCTATGATGCAGTTTACTTGGCATTTAAAAATACATTTCCTCAAAGGTATTTTTAATTTGAAAAGAGTGTTGGGAGCTCAGCAGACAGTTAAGTTTCACTTTCACCCGAGAGCTTGCAGGAGTCATTGCAGTTGGTGTTCCGCAATGAGGACGTTCGGCTTAAAGACACGTCCCAAAGGCGTTTCTGGTCCCCACCTGTCGTTTTGCTCCTCAGCATGTCTTCCTAAAAACGCTGCAGGATTTCTCAAACATGCACGAATGAGTCAGAGCAAGGCTTTGGGCATGTTTTTTTATGAGAGTATAACATCATAACATGATATAAAACTCAAAAAAGTAGATTTTACATGATATTGCCCCTTTAATAGTAAAGAGCCTAATCAAATGACTGAAAATGCACCAACAGAATGTACTTTGAAGTTTTTCCTGTGTATCAGGTCATAATGCCTAATAAATAAATAAATAAATAAATAAGAGAAAATCACAGATTGAGATTAACTTCTGATTAGTGCCACTGTAAACAACGGTTGAAAGCTTTCCCAACTTGACTAAAATCCAAACACACATTTCTGAAGACAAAGCAGTTTTTGACTTTTAAAGGCCGTACTTGGAAAATGTTTGTTAAGTGCTGAGAAGATGTGTTGATCAGTGTTTAATGGCTCAGCAATACAGAGGGTGAAGGGAATGTTTCCTGCTTTACGATTAAATGATGAACGAGATTAAAAATGACACTCAGTGATGTGAGGCACAGCTAACACAGGAACGTCTCACAGTACTTCTGTGACATGGGAACACTCACCTCCCCGATCTGAACGTGGGTTTCCTCCACAGACTGAGCGTAAGACTGAATGATCTCCTTCATTTGGAGAATATGGTTTTCTTCAATGTCTTGGAATTTCTGGAAGACAGATCGATCATGTTAAATGTTAGGGTGCTGCAATGCAACAAATCAGTCTCTTAAAATCAAATTAACTGAATCAATGTGTCGCTGTCAACAAACAGACGTAACAACAAAAATCATGTAAAAATAATGAAGCCAAGGTAAAAACTACTTCCTTGTGATTGTGACTTTATGTGTGACTGTTTGTGTTGTCTGAGGTGCTTACATGCACACTAACATGTCATTCTTGGTCATGATGTCCAACGACACAACACAAAGGATAAAAATAGAGGAAGTAAGAGGATAAACATTTATCACTGAAGAAGTATGGCTTGTTTGCAGTGGTGGGCACCAGCCCTTAATGCGCAAATCCGCTAATTGCGGACCTAAATATTTCATTTGCGGTTTAGCGGTCTTACTAATTTTTATAATTCATAAGCGGATTTGTGCTTTCTAAAATTAAAATGCAGTACCGCTAATAACTAATTATCTACCAGTCAT